TATATATATATATATATATATATATATATATATATATATATATATATGTATGTATATATATATATATATACTATTAATATTTACATATTTATATTTATATATTTATATTTATATATTTATATATTTATATATTTATATATTTATATATTTGTGTGTGTATATACACCTCAGGACCGCAACGGTTTTTTTAGTGCGGATATGGATAGAGTGAGCGAGGGTCTGGGTGTATTGGTGGGTTTATATAAAAGTGTATATATAAATAAAGAAACAGAAAAAGAAATAAATAAATTAATTTATAATATAGCAAAGACAAACGAACCCAGTCCCCTTGAGCAGCTAGCCAGAAACTTCAACAGTAAACAAAAAAAAAATATAAATAAAATACTACAGGAGGCACAGGCGGAGACATAAACTTTTTTATTTATTTATTTATTTATTTATTTATTTATTTATTTATTTTCTTTTTTTTTATTTATTTATTTATCAATAAATATATTAATATACAAATACTCATACATACGAAAGAAACTACCAACCAAAAAAAAACAAATACACGCTTGCGCGTAACTGCTAACCAGCTAGCCACCCTGGCTAGCTAGCTAGCTAGCTGGCTAGCTAGCTGGGTAGCTAGCTAGCTAGCTAGCTAGCTAGCTAGCTGGGTAGCTGGGTAGCGTAGCTAGTCAGCTAGCTGTACAGCTAGCCGACTAGCTACGCAGTTAGCTAGCTAGCTGTGTAGCTAGCCAGCTAGCTAGCTAGCTGCAATTGCCTCGACGCCCGTACCGGCTCGTACTTTACTAGCTAGCTAGCTAGCTAGCTAGCTAGCTAGCTAGCTGGTTGTTAGCGGGGGGTCGGTGGGGGCGGGACCCTAAGAGGCAGAGAACCCTCAAGACCATCAATAATATTTTATTTATTTTTATTATTTTATTATTTTGTTATTTTATTTTTTTATTTTTATTTATTTTAAATAATAAAGTAACAACAATATAATAATATAATAATATAATAATATAATATAATAATATAATAATATAATAATATAATAATATAATAATATAATAATATAATAATATAATAATATAATGATATAATAATATAATATAATAATATAATAATATAATAATATAATAATATAATAATATAATAATATAATAATATAATAATATAATAATTATATTAATTATTTTATTATTATTATTATTATATGTATATATAATTATCATTTTATTATTTTATTTATTTTTATTTTAAACTATTTTATTATTATTTTATTATTTTATTTTATTTTATTTTTATTTTTTTATTTTATTTTATTTTATTTTATTTTATTTTATTTTATTTTATTTTATTTTATTTTTTATTATTTCATTTATCATTTAAATTGTTATTTTATCTTTTTTTTTATTTTTTTATTTTTATTGTTTGCTGCTATCGTCTCACTATTGTTTTATTTTTATTTTATAATTATTTATTTTTTATTATTTATTTTATTTTTTATTTATTTTTTATTTTTATTTATTTTTTGTTGTTATTTATTTTTTATTATTTATTTATTTTTTTTTTTTATTTTTATTATCGCTAGCAGTTTATTCTGTTTTTGTTGTTTTCTATTAACTTTATTTTTAATATAAAAATAAAAATAATTATAATATAAAAACAAAAATAATTATAATATAAAAATATAAAAATATAAAAATATAAAAATATAAAAATATAATAATATAATAATATAATAATTATATTAACTAATTATATTAAAATTATAAACATCTGCTGAAGACAAATATCAGCGGGGCTCGCG